TATGGATAGGTTTAAGGGTGGGTTAAGGTGTAAGGGATGGATCAACAGTGTAACTATAAATGTAATTACAGAAATTAATTACAGATGTAATTACATGCAGGTATTTTTTTTTAAATATAATTACAATGTAAAAACATGTATGTACACAATACATACATTTTATTAAATGATTAAGTAAGTACATAGTAGTTAAAGCCACTTCATATAAAGTGGGACCGTTATTTTTTTTTCTTTCCATATTTATTGATCCTTATTGATTTCAATTACAGTTTCCAAATGTTATTTACATAAAAAATAGCTAGCTATGCAAACTTTTTTACTATTAGTTACATGAGGCAAAAGAAGTTAGAATGAAGGATAAACTGAAATTCACCGCATTTAAACAAGTTCTGCTCACATATTTGAAGGTTTCTATTGGATCATTTAGGGTAAACGTCATATTATGCGACTACGCATTACGAAGAGCTTACGAACTAGCTACTAGCTACGTCCTGCCTTACAAACAACTGGTGCAACCGAACATTGTATAGATCTAGTTACAAACTAGCTAGTAGTTACTAAGCCTCTAGTGTGGACTTAACGTTCTAATATAAGTAAAAACTTACGAATTGCTGGTGCAAACCTACTCAGGAGCAGGGTTTGAGATGTCAGACCTTTGTTAGTTTTCTTCTTCTGTGTCGTCTTTTTCTGTCATAAAACATTTTCCGCCATTTTTAATATACCAAAAACCTACCTTTTCTAACTACTCCTAGAGCATTGCTCTGATTTTCATTAAAATTTAATAGTAGATCTTCAGACCATGGTGACAAAAGTTTATGTAATTCAAGTTGAGTAGTCAAACTTGCGAATGAATTAGACGAAGAGCACGCCAAAATGACTGTGAGGCTACATCTTCAAAACGCTTTAGCTTATTCAAACCAAATTTGGTGCATGCAATGACAAAAATGACCTGAGGGTATATGAGTTTTGGCAGTGAGCCACCTATTGGTCAATATTAGGGATGCACCGATACCGATACTGGTATCGGGCCCGATACTGAGCTCCTGTACTCGTACTCGTACTCGTTAAAATGCCCCGATACCAAACGCCGATACCGCACAGCATGTGATAAGCGCCATATTCAAACAAAGAAACACCGACAACCGAACAACAGAGAGCAGAAAGGAGTTAAGGATGTCTACTAGGAAGTATATGTATGCAATGAATATAATGTATTCAGTATTAATGCCTGTATAGCTGATTTCCCCCAGCTGGTAAGCAAATCACGCTGAGTGGATCAAGATGAATTTGTTCTGAAACAGTGTAGCTTCTGAGTTCTTGTCATATTTTATTACCATTTTCTAAACTATAGCGAATAAACTGTGATAATGTGAGAAAAGATGAAGGTGTCTAAATAGATTTTGGTTTGACTGTATCTATTTGATAAATGAAGTTAACCAACTAACATTATACATACTCTTTTGGTTTCTGTACCCAATATTTAAAAAACGTACAAATGCAATAAAAATATCGGTATCGGTACTCGGTATCAGCAAGTACCAAAAATAAAAGTATCGTTATCGGGCGAGTACTGGAAAAAGTGGTATCGGTGCATCCCTAGTCAATATATATGAAAAATTTACATTTTTGCTACTGGTCAATAATTGATAAGCAATTACATCACATTAAAAGTGATTGTATTTATGGGTTTTTTAACCATTTTGCTAAAGACATGAACAAATGTCTTTAATTACTCATTTTTGCAGGTGGTCTGATGTTCCCTGCCATGCTTGCTTAGCTCCTCATTTTGCAGACAACTGCTGCTTGCAGCGTTATTTATTTATTTATATTATTATTATGCAGTTGTTTTTGTTCTTCAGTGCCATTTCTAAGAACTAATTAGAACCAATTGGAGTAGTTGAAGTCTACTAAAATTAAATCAAATTCAGATGGGAAAAGTCAATTGCATTCTTTTTATGGTGAAATTTAATTATCATTGAAGCTCAACAAGCAACTTCACACATAAAGGAAACACTGTAATCTCTAGAAATGTTCCAGTGTAAATTCTCTGATATTTCCAGGTTTTCCATGAGGGTGGGAACCCTAGTTGCCATAATTAACTTTGTTGTTTCAGCAAAATAAATAAATAAATAAAAATAAAAAATAAGGCAGAGCAATCTTAACCACAGAAGCTCATAGGAAACTGAGTTTATTTTTCATATGAGTGCTTGAGTGTCCCTGAAGCGTCAGTTTGAGTTTGTGGCTGGGCAGTGTGTGAGTGATTTGCTTGGATTTTGCTCTCTTCTCTCTGGAGTCTGTCAAAGCCAACAGCTCCTCTCCAAATATCTGCAGTGTTTGAGCACAGATGAAGTCATCAAAACGGGCTCAGTGGTTAGCACTGTTGTCTCACAGCAAGAAGGTCCCCAGTTCAAGACCCGGCAAGGACAGGATGCCTTTCTGTGTGGAGTGTGCATGTTCTCCCTGTGTCTGTGTGGGTTTACGCCGGGTGCTCCGGTTTCCTCCCACAACCCAAAGACATGCAGGTTAGGTTGATTGGTTCTCGCCATGAATATAGCCATAGATGCTGGATTGGCGTTAAGAAAGAAATAAACAAACAAAGTCATCAGAACACTGATGACTCTACCACAGGCTGGGCAAGGGGCACATATTATAAACACACGCATATTCCCAGTATGCAGAGGATACCTATATATTTGCACACAATACCAAATCCACAAGTTTTATAACAACATTTCCAAACCTGCCCACAAACACGTTTATCCACAGACTATGCCACAATAAGAAAGAAGAGCCTTTTCAGGACCTCGGAGAGTGACCGTATCACTCAATACTCATGCATGGTCATGATAAGAATGATTATAAATAAATACGATACGAAATAATATTTTATAAACAGTTTGAGGTCTGGGTTAAAAGTCTTTATTTTATCCACTGGGAATTGATTGGTCTCTATATGACAAGAAATTGGGCTGAAAAATAACAAACTATCGTCAGCCGAAATGGAAAGACGTTTCAAAGGCAAAGCAAATGATTAGATTTTTATGAAAGTTCATGTGCAAAGTTTTCTTTGCAATAACGTGCACTGATGAATCATTCATGATAAAATCAGGAAAGTATAAAGATATCAGGAAGTATTTATAAAGAAAGTAAATAGTCAATTTTGGTTTCATGTTGACTTTGTACAGTGCAAATGAAATAATCACATCTTGACATGATTATGGAAATCTCTGCCTTGCAAATTATAAAATAAATGTTATTCGTTAATAGATGCTAATTGTTGAAAACATGGATAATGACAGGGATTAATCCTGATTGAGAAATCAGTCGTTCTCATGGTCTCGCCCATCATAAATGAATTGAATGATCAATGACACGCTGACTTTCACACAGTCAGTGCTAGTGTGATGAATGTAAACATCCCTGCTGTGTTATTTTCATCCAGACCGATGATTTATTTTTTGTCCTTGCTGATGTTGGACGGTCCCCCTAATCAACAAATACATGCAGATGAGAGGATCAGGACAGGGTTAGAACTGAATTAAACAGCCTGTTTTTGCTACATTATCTTTAAGGCCTCAGTATGTATATGACCTCAGTAATAATTGAATATATCTAATATTAATATCTAATATCGCATAAAAATGAAAAGAGAGAGAAAATCAACAGTCATGAGTGGCTAGATGCTGTCCTCCCCATTCCGCATTGCTGTAGCCAACCATTCATGACCCAGAAGGTCACAATGCACTGGAAACACAGTTCATGCCCTCCTACCACACAGACTATCCAATATTAAAGAGAGGGTTTGATTTGCCACACACAGGCACATCACATATTGAGCCGACACACTGACTCTGACAGCACCAGAATTTAAAATAAATAAATAAAATAATAAAAAATCCCAGCTTGTTCTTCCTTCAGAGTCACACACAGAAAGCTCAGCTCATAGTTTTCCTTCATATATGATATCCTATTACTCTTTGATATTATTCCTTTTGCTATTTAGAGCTGAATTGCTGCACTAATAAATAATAATAATATTATTAAAATAAATGACAAAAAATAGATATGGTTTATTAATAAATAATAAAATCAGAAAATAATACACTAAATAAGGCATTTAATAATTAATTAACTTTTATTTTGTGTTAGTAACTTAAAGGATTAGTTCACCCAAAAATGAAAATTCTGTCATTAATTACTCACCCTCATGTCGTTCCAAACCCGTAAGAACTCCGTTCATCTTCGGAACACAAATTAAGATATTTTTGATGCATCCCATGAGGTCTCTGACCCTCACAATTCGTCTCCTCCGCGTCACCCTGCCGCCATTTTGGAGAGTATCCACTGAACATAAACAGCGTATGCTATTCTGTGTCAGCTGCGATACGCGGATACATTGTTTACGTTAATATCAAAGTGCAAACAACGTAGAAAATGTATCCGTGTGGCGCAGCTGACACAGAACAGCATACGCTGTTCCAAAATGGCGCTAGGGTGACGCGGAGGAGACGAATTGTTGAATAAAAGTCCCCTGTGACAACTCCTGATGTCACATGGATTATTTTACCAATGGCCTTGCTACGTTTCTGGACCTTGATCGTGTAAGGATCCTTGCTGTGTATGGGAGGGTCAGAGAGCTCATGGGATGCATCAAAAATATCTTAATTTGTGTTCCGAAGATGAACGGAGGTCTTACGGGTTTGGAACAACATGAGGGTGAGTAATTAATTACAGAATTTTCATTTTTGGGTGAACTATCCCTTTAAATAACTTTGTATTTTGTTTAGTGCAATCATATAGCTACTTAAAATATGCTTAAAATGGTTATGCAATTTAGCATCACATTTAAAATCAGAGCTGGTTTCCCACTTTTCCCCATATTCAATACAGCAAAAATGTAGTATTCTTTTATTGCAACGCATTATGAATTGTTCATACTGCATTCATAATATACAGTTCAGGTACGTGCTGGTCTCAAATCAGCATTTGCATTCACTTACCAAGCGTTTTAGCACACGGAGCAGCAGTTTCTGCTGTCTGGGTTCAGTGTGCGTCTGCAGTGCGTGTGCCAGGCTGAGCAGCTCCTCCGGCTGCAGGTGGTCCGCATCCTCTCCTCCGTACAGCTGAGCCAGCAGAGACACACAGTGACTGGCCTCCTCATACACCTCACTGTCATTACACGCCAGCTGTGGGAGAACAACACAGTGATCTGAACATTTACCCAGGAACAACGAAAATAAAACAAACTATATTACATACAAAGTATACAAAACAAATAATTATCCACAGCAGATTTAGTAAGAAAATCGGTCCCACTTTATATTAAGTGGCCCTAATACCTGTGTACTTACATAGTAACTAGATGTGTACGTAGTATGTAACCACAGTGTAAGTACACATTGGTACATAGTATCTAGAGCTGTAATATTTCTGTAACACATGTACACACATGTAACAACCCTCCGAATGGTTTGTGTAAGTACAAATGTGTAACAGGACATATATAACTACATTATGTAACAACAATATGCATAAGAGTAATTGGAACAATTTGATCCAGGAGGTGGAGATGGGTAGGTTTAGGGATATGTAAAGTGGGAGGAGTTGGATCTCAAGTTGGAGTTGGTGCACCACTGTAATACCAGTGTACTTACATGGTAACTCCTCAGGAACTGTTCACTTAATATAAAGTGTAACATTCTGACCACCAACCACAATTTATATGTAAAGCCTAACTTACTGGCCGCTGCTGTGTAACATCAGAGTAATTACATGGTAAATCCATAGGAATTGTTTTACTTAATATAAAGTGTAACACTTTCTTTACCAAAAAGTGCTGTTAGTCCTGTTACACATTTGTATTTTCATTACCAAAGAGTGTTTACCAATGTCCTGTTACACATTTGTATTTACACATACCATTCAGTGGGTTGTTACATATGTGTAGTTACACAAACATTACAGCTGTAGATACTATGTACCAATGTGTACTTACACTGTGGTTACATACTACGTACACATCTAGTTACTATGTAAGTACACAGGTATTAGGGCCACTTAATATAAAGTGGGACCAGAAAATCTTTGTCAATCTTAGTAAAATTGTCAATATTCCTGCATCTATATAACAGTCTGAAAGAACAGGCTGGATTATTGAACAGCTGAGCTGCAGCCAAACTCCCTTCATGCAGATATTTCTAGGGCTTTTATATTGCTCTTCTTTTGCTTTTTGGAAATATGAAACTACATCCTTCATAAGTCTCAGCACTACAAATCTGTTAGTCTATGTACGGTCAATAGCAGCGGTCTGGAGAATCTATATTATATATTTATTTCAAAATTTCTGCCATATATTTTACTCAGACTTGAGATGAGGTGTTATTTTGTCAAAGTCACATTGTAAGGGGCTTTAAGGGGAACACATCAGGGATTTATCTAGCTTTTTTTTGAGCATTTACATTTGCATTTGACAGACACTTTTATGCAAAGTCACATATTATCAGTTTATCAGCTTTCCCTGGGAATCAAACTCAAGAACCAAGAGTTTGATGTACTATGTAGACGTAAGATTCAAAGATACAAAGTCCTCTTAGAACATGTAAAGGACAACTCAGCTGTAAGGTTGTTCTGATATCATCATGGCTTTGACATTTGGATCAACAACTTGGTTCAGGTTAGTTGCATATAGAAGTCCTCAAGGTACAGCAGTAAAGCGAATCCTAAATTCTGCATTTCCAAAAACAAGAAATCTGTCTGTCCACACTGAAAATGATGCCACAAATATAAACATTTCTAAAACTTAAAGGGATAGTTCACCCAAAAAAATAAAAAATTGTCATTATCTATTTACCCTCATGTTGTTTCAAACCTTTCTTATATGGAACAAAAAAGATTTTAGGCAGAATGTTATGAACTCACAGTCTCAGTCATAATTTTCTTTTACTGCATACTGTTTTTTTATACAGTGGCAGTTAATGCTGACATCGAGGCTGTCATTCTGCCTAACATCTCCTTTTTCGTCCCAGAGAAGAAAGGAAGTCATACAGTTTTGGATCAACTTCTGCTAGGTAGAAGACGAATAATGACAGAATGTTCATTTTTTTGAACATTGAACTACCCCTTTGTAAACCTGCATTGTATACCTGTATTTCCAACTAGTGAGAGCCCACTGTGGGCAGAACACTCAGCATTACAACACAAAAACTGAAACCTTCTGCTTGCTGTCCATGATAATTGTGGCTGGTTAAGACTAGTGGTTGTCCAATATGGATTTTTTGATGTGCAATGCTGATACTTTAGAGAGCAATGCCAATATAAAGCTGATATAGGCCTATATGATATCACACTAAATAACACATTGTAACAGTGAGGCTGAGGCAGCATTAGAATCCATTTGCAGAAGTTTATTAATAGAAATAACAGGCAGAGAGTCAGTACCGTAACAGCAGTCCAATCTTTCAACATACACAAGGGAGATCCAAAAGGCAGAGACGAGTAAGCAGGCAAAAGGTCCAAACACAATCATCAGTCCAAATCAGGCTATCAATCCAAAGGGGTAAATCAGTGACCGTAGAGCAGATAATCAGGCAGAATCATACACAGAATAGGCAGGCAGAAAACAATGGAAACGCTTGGTAAGGCAGGTAAACTGGCAATACTTCGCAATGAGCAAACACACAGTTCCTTGCTAAATACTGATCAAACAGGAAATGAACGCAGAAGCAGAGGGAGCGGTACACAGTCAGTACTCAGGCGAGGGCTCCCTCTGCTGGTGTGGCATTACACACATACAGAACAACTGACCCTTCGCAAAGACCCTTTAGGTATTAAAAAAGTCTCTGCTTAAAGCTAAATGCCATTTTGTGGCTCTTTAATGTGTTGTGACAGATCACTGCAGTGCCTCAGTTCAAGTGTCACATGAACCAATCATCTCATCCTCTTTACTAGTTATAGCATGAAGTAAACATGAATGAACATCAGAAGGTATCTTGTTTAAACCGCAGAAAGATGTCAATACACACCATTTTTCAAGATCAAGTCCACCAACATTAATCTACTCTCCTGTCTGGTTTGTCGGACAAAAATGGCAGATTCAGCATTATGATTGGTCAGATCGCCTGTCAATCAAATTCCCTGCAAAGGGTCCATTTCTGAAATTAAATGTATATTTATTTAACATGATACTTAAAAACAATTTAAACAAAGACAGTAAACTAAAGAAGGTGTAGGGGGGCTCAGGCACTGGGTTCACTGGGTCAAAATAAAACTTCTGCTTGACTTGTTGACCAAATTGAGAAACTTATCAGCCAATAATGAAAAAGTGCCAAATATAAGCTGATAATATCAGCCATGGCGATAAATATTGGCTGACTACTAGTTAGGACATAATTCAGTATAATTACTGACTGCTTGTTCACATGACAATGTGTAAGCATACACATTATGCACTTTTTTGTTTGTTTGTTTTGCATTGTTGGATTGCATTTGTCTAAAAAAACTGTCAAAAAGTTATTAAAAAGTAAAGTAACACTGCATTTCAGAAAAAGAACATCATACCAACAGTAAAATATGGTGGTGGTAGTGTGATGGTCTGGGGCTGTTTTGCTGCTTCAGGACCTGGAAGACTTGCTGTGATAAATGGAACCATGAATTCTGCTGTTTACCAAAAAATCCTGAAGGAGAATGTCCGGCCATCTGTTCGTGACCTCAAGCTGAAGCGAACTTGGGTTCTGCAGCAGGACAATGATCCAAAACACACCAGCAAGTCCACCTCTGAATGGCTGAAGAAAAACAAAATGAAGACTTTGGAGTGGCCTAGTCAAAGTCCTGACCTGAATCCTATTGAGATGCTGTGGCATGACCTTAAAAAGGCGGTTCATGCTCGGAAACCCTCCAATGTGGCTGAATTACAAGAATTCTGCATAGATGAGTGGACCAAATTTCCTCCACAGCGCTGTAACAGACTCATTGCAAGTTATCGCAAACGCTTGATTGCAGTTGTTGCTGCTAAGGGTGGCCCAACCATTTATTAGGTTTAGGGGGCAAACACTTTTTTCACACAGGGCCATGTAGTTTTGGGTTTTGTTTTCCCTTAATAATAAAAACCTTCATTTAAAAACTGCATGTTGTGTTCACTTGTGTTATCTTTTACTAATATTTAAATTTGTTTGATGATCTGAAACATTAAAGTGTGACAAACATGCAAAAAAATAAGAAATCAGGAAGGGGGCCAACACTTTTTCACACCACTGTATATATATATATATATAATTATGGTAAACTTAACATTAATATGTTACATTAAACCATAACATTTTAATCAATGGATTCCAGAAGCTTTAAATACCTTTAGTGTGAATGCAAACTCTATCAATATTGTTTCGTCATATTGTGTGACACTTCTCCAAGATTTAATTTTCGCAAGATTTACATACACTGCACTGTACTGGAAGCTGCGGTGACCACTCAGGCTAAATGTGGACGCAATCATGCATAGAGTCCATTAGAATCGTAATTGACGATCAAAGATCTTTACTATTCTCATCCCTAACCAAACCCAAATTAGCTCGAATTGCGATAAGCCGAATCCTGCTCAGCAAATTCCCATATTGGCAGTGATATAATCGCAAAGGAGAGCTGAAAAGTCAAAACAGAAAGAGTTATGTTCTCATAACTGCAGTTACAGGCTTAACATGTCCATCAGGGCAGCAGCATGGAGTGTGAGTCCTCAACCCAGACCACAACAATCCCTGCTCAGCTTAAGACTGAGATAAAGACAAAAAGCGACACACAAGGGCCGTGGGGATTTTCTCTGCCGCTCATTTCGGCCCTCAAAGCCCTGTGTGGCCGGCTCAGGGATTCCAGCTTCTTTTCGGCACTGATCTGTTACTGCCCTCTGCCATAAAGGCATAATCCCAAGAGACTCTGGGGCAAGGGCCAGCGGCGCCTAATCCCGCCCCTCTTTGTGATGTCGCCGGCCACTCCAGAATGGAGTGCGGGGCTTTAGGAGGCCACACAATACCCCCACAGAGCGCCGCCCCTTCCCCGGCCCAAAGAGAGGCTGACCGGAGGGAGATCCCCAGCGCTGAAAGGCCTTTGGTGTGCGTCTACGGGCTCTGTGGCTCCGGTATTGTTCACATGCCAACGCGGAGTCAGAGCAGAACAAGAGTTAACACCTGCTTAGACGGCCTCCCAAATTCACCCTGTTTACTTAGCAGGGCTTGTAGATGCATCGGGGAAATCAGGCTGAGGAGTCTAATGGGACTGTGGGCTGAAAAGCACTCAGGGAGATTAGGGAGTGTTAATGCCACTGTGGGTTGTGAAAGGATGATTGGAAGAGAGAAAGAAAGAATGAGAAGAGGAGGAGAACCGAAGCCTATGGGGACGTGTAACGCGTAGGCCTCTCATGACCTCCGCATGTACTCGGGCACATAACTGGGCCTGTGTATTTGAGGCGATCGATATTCCCACCGCCTCATGTGCCACTGCCTTTGGAACAAACAACACTGCAAATTACATTTTTCAAACCATGTGTTGCTTCAAACTGTGAACTCAGCCGCTGCGTAAACAGACTGCAGGGAAGAACATGTGTGATTGCTTGCAGGCAAACTTGGAATATTTACCACCAAAAATTAAAAGCGTGTGGAGTAAACGCATGAAAAGGCTTTTATATTGAGCGGAGATTTTGAGGTGACATATTTCCCTTTCGGATGAACTATTTAAAATGCAGTGTGTCCCTAGCACACATAGACAATCTGTTCACCTGATCCTTGGGCACCATTCGCCCTTGACAACATACTGTCCCATCCTGGTGACCTGCTTCCACATATATTCAAATGCGCGCACACATACACAAGTCAACCAATGATGTGTGTCCCACTTCTATGGCTGTGGTTTTGTAGGTATTAAATAAATATAAAATGTATTTTAAATAGCAGTGCCCTATCTTGGTTTAAAAACCCAAGGTCAATGGGGGAGTGAAGCCATTTATTTAGTAACCTTTGGGAGTAATTTTAACCAAACACTATATGTATCACTTGTACAGTGGTTTAAATATTTTAGCCTAAATTAGATATATTGGTAGGATGTCCTGTTTAAACTGCTTGCTTTAATGATACAACGGCATTATGACGTATTCACAAGAAGTATAAATAGGAGCACTATTCATCAATTCAAATCATTCATTGTCTTGCTGCAGGACCTGATGGATTTTGAGTTTTAGATTACAGACGAGGTATTCTGTCACAGAACTAGTATTTCTGTTCAGTCTTCTGCCTTGAAAACTTTTTTCTATGATGAATATGTATGGAAAAAAACAGCAACATTTGTCAGAATGGATTTAAATATTGTGAAATGTGTTTTTAGGAATACGAAGTCTTATTGATAGCATTGTTAATTTAGCATACATATTTAATAGACTAAATGCATAGGCCAGTGGATGTGCACAATGTTGTGAATAATGTTCTGCTGAATGACGAAATTCTGTGGAAATCTTTCTGCACAATTCTGCAGGCGGGAAATTGACATTAAATTTCAAGCAGTGACAGCAGTGTCCTGCAAAGTGACATGTACTTCATTTGAAATTATTAAACATAACTTTTATTCTTTTAATACTTGCAATGTTAAAAAAATTATTAGTCACAATGCAGCATTACTTAAATGAACTGCATACAATCTCAAATCTATTACTCTGTATGTAATACAGCACCTTAAATTTAGATTTTATATATGCATATACATTTTCTTCTAAAATCTTGATCTGCAAAACAGTGGGACACTGATGATTCAATTGTCTGATTCACAGTTATGATGTTGTTCATTAAAAACACAGCTGGCATTTATTAACCAACGCTGTCGTATGATGAGATGACTGAAATCCTGCTGGCATCATCTGTTTGGTTTATCATACATCTTCACTGTAACTGTAAAAA